TGCTCATCTGCTGGCACTGGCACTCAAGTTCCCCTTGCTGCGCCAAGCAGTCCAACTGAAGACTCAAATGCGCTGGGTGGGGCTCCTGCCAGGGAGCACAACACTCAAGCGCACCAAAGTGCACCTAAAAAGAAAGAAAGTGCGCCCAAGCCGCTGCAAAAGGGACTTTTCAGCAACCAGGGGCGCCTGAATGTGGGTACTGGTGGCCAAGTGCGCCTGTCAGGAGACAAGAGCACCAAGAAGCAGCAAAAGGCACCAGAGAAGATGCCTGTGCCTCAAAGCAAGCAGCAAAAGCGCTTGAAAGAGGTCAGCAGTAGCAAGCAGCGTCAAAAAGAGGCTGAAGGGCGCTCTGTGGGTCTCAACAACACTCAGGCAAGCCCAACTGCGCCAAGTGACCAACAAGTGCGCCCTGCTGCTCCAGTGGAAGACCAAGAGCACCCAGATGAGCTTCATGGCAGTCAAGAGCACTCAGATGCAGCTCAGGGTAGCAAGAAGCGCCCAGCTGAAGAACAGGGCAGTGAAGATGAGGAGATCAGCACCAGGAAGCGCCAGAACAAAGGGAAAGGCGCTGAGAGGAACCAAGAGAGCGCTGAGCAGCCAGCTGAAGGTGCTGAAGGTGCTGAAAAGCAACCTGCAGTCAAGGAAGTTGCGCCAAACAAGTGGAAAGAGCTCTCAGATGCGCTGACAGTCAAGCTCAAGGCGCTCAAAGACACTGACTGTAACTTCAAGAGCGGCCTAGAGCGCTGTGATAACTGTCGCCGCAAAGACATTCCCTGCCGCTTTGAGAAGCATTCGGCTAGAAGCAAGCGCTGTGTGGACTGCAGGATTGTCAGGGACTACTGCACATTCAAGAAAGAAGACCTCTTCCCCTATGAGGAGGCTGCCAACAGGGCGCGCCTCAATGCTGTTGCTGGTCCTTCCAGCGCTCCACAGTGTAGCTCAGCTGAAGTGCACCCAACAGCACTGGAAAGGCGCGCAAGTGCAGGCAGCTTAGACCAAGTGCGCTCAATTGAGGACTCCTTAAGGCACATGAGCGCCAGAGTGCGCCGACTAGACACCAACCAGGAGGCGCACTTTGAGCGCACTCAGACATCTTTGGACGCTGTCCATCAAGGGGTAGAGTGCCTTGCGCCGCTTATAGAGGCGCTCATTGCAGCGCAGGAGGACGCTGAGTTGCACCAGTCAGCAGTGGAGAGCACCTTACAAGCACTCAAAGACGGACTGGACAGGCTGCTTGAGCGTCAGTGAGCGCTCCCTGGACCTCACTACAGCGCTGCTCAGGTCCCTTCAGTGCTCTTTGCCTCTTTGTTGATCCTCTTAGTGCCTTTTGGATGCTTTGAACAGAGCTTCAGCGCCCATGCCCACTCACCCAGCGCACCATGAGCCCCTTTGCCCCTTTTTCCATGCCCTACAGTGCTCTTTGTGTAGAGACAGTGCACCTGAGCGTCCATGCCCTATGCTTCATGCCCCCATGCAATTCATGCCATCATGCCAGCGTCTTTGAGTGCATCTCCTTCCCATTGCTCTTGACCAGGTGCCCTTGAGCGCACTGAATGGCATATTGGTGCAGTGCAGCGCACAAAGTGCAGTACAGCGCTGATACAAAGACATGTGCTGTCTTTGGGCACATTTCTACTTCACTGAGTGCTACTGTCCTCTGTCAGCGCACAATGTACCAGCTTGGCACACTTGACTGCCACATGGCACTGGTGGTGACACTGAGCAAAAATCAATTCTGCAAAAAAAAACTTTTCATCCACTTGTCAAACAATGTTCCTTCTTCTTTACTACCACCACCATCCCCTTTCTCCCTCGACACAAGTGCACTTCAGCGGGTTAGGGTTAGGGTTAGGGTTAGGGTTAGGGTTAGGGTTAGGGTTAGGGTTAGGGTTAGGGTTAGG